ACTCATATACAATATCCCTCTGATCTTGAACATGAATATGATTTGTGAGTAGTTACTTTTGTTCTTGATGACATGGAAGAAGTCCTATTATAAGTAATCATGTGAAGTTGGTATTTGTTCAATATTTTGATGATACGTATGTTGTTCTTGCTCTAGTGTCGTGTGAACGTCGACTACATGATACTTCACCATGTTTGGGCTTAGCGGAAGGTATTGGCGTGTAATAAGTAGATGATGGGTTGTGCGAGTGACAGAAGCTTAGACCTAGTTTATAAGTTATTCTGTAAGGGGCTAATTTGGATCCATATGTTTAATGCTAGGATTAGATTTATCTTAATTCTTCTTTCGTAGTTGCGGATACTTGCAAGAGGGTTGCTTGTTCAAGTAAGAATAACACCCTAGCATCGGTCCACATACATATCAAATTATTAAAGTAATGAACACAAATCAACTAAACATGATTACCGTGACTAGATGAGAATTCACATATGTCCTCGAAACGCTTTGGTTTATATATATGAGAACTTTTCGGCTTGTCCTTTGCTATAAAAAGGATTGGGCCACCTTGCTGCACCTTTGTTACTCATTACGAACTACCTTACTACAAAACTATCTGTTACCGCCACTTTCAATACTTGCAAAGAATACCTTCCTAAAAACCTTTTTCTTCTGCTCCTCGTTGGGTTTGACGCTCTTACTTATCGAAAGGACTACAATTGATCCCCATATACTTGTGGGTCATTAGGAGTCCAGCGGCTAACTCTGACATCCTTTCGAAGATCCAACCATTTAGATTGTGTGGAATTTGTCGTGTCTGCAACTCCTCAAAATTTGAGATCGATTAGATGATTCACACTCCGAGAAACGTCTGAGAAGTGCATCAATTTGTGAATTGTCTTCTACACGAAAACAAATTTGACCCGAGTTCATCTTGCTTTTTTTGCGAGAAAACTTTCAATCTATTCATCTTCAATCATGACAAAACAATGAACACCAGAAATAATAAACATTACATCCAGATCCGTAGACCACCTAGCGACGACTACAAACACTGAAGCAAGCCGAAGGTGCGCCGCCGTCATCGCCCCTCTCTCGCTGGAGCCGGGCAAAACTTGTTGTAGTAGACAGTCGGGAAGTCGTCGTGCTAAGGTCCTATAGGACCAGCGCAGCGTAACAGCAGTCGCCATCGATGAAGAGTAGCGTAGATCGAAGGATCCAACGTGAAGAAACACAAACGTAGACGGACTACGACCGGATTCGAGCAAATCCATCAAGGATAGATCCGCCGGAGACACACCTCCACATGCCCACCGTCTCGTCTATGTTTTGTTAGGGAATGAGAACCTTATTACATCTTCAGGGAGCCGCTGCCGTCTCATCTTCCTGAACAAAACACAAACCCTAACAAAAGTTGAAGAAACATCTAAAAATGGAGCCCTTCCACCGGCAAGGGCCGGGATCCACCGCGCCGCCATGGCCCTAAGGCCACGGAAGACGAGGCGGACCGACGGCGGCGGCGGGAGGCAAATGAACCCTAAGCTTTTCTTAGGAAGAGGTGTTGCTCCTTTTCCCTTTTTCGAGTTCATCTTTCTCCATGTATGGGCTAACAAACGACATGTGATTGAGGAGATTTTTTTCGTGGGGTCGTGTGTTTGAGCAAACACGCGCTTGTAGATTTTGAGCCTTTTTTCAAGGTACTCTTCATTGTCACACCGGTATCACATTGAGTCGACCTCGTTGCACCATCAGCACAGATTTTCTGACTTGTGCCAGCATCACCGCCACATGGATTCATGGGGTCGGGTCAGCCAAGTTGAGTCATCACCTCGGCAAGCCGACCTGGAGCAAGATGACTAAGATGGAGGAGAGGGGCCACTGGCCAAGACTACTGTATACTCCCTCCGTCCGGTAAAGAGTGTACATCTAGAGATTTTAGGACAAATTATGGAGTGAAGTAAAAAATGAATTGGAAAAATGCAAGCCATCATCACTCTTCTTTTTAATTAACCAAACCTCAATGAGCTAAGTGCATGTACAAATTAAGAAGACCATGTACAACTTGTTATTGGTCTTGATTACCATGTGATGAGAGAGAAGTATTTTTTTCTACTTTAAAGTGCATTGGAAAGATAGAAATACACTTTTTTATGGACAGATTTTGAAGCTAAACGTACACTGTTTACCGGACAGAGAGAGTAAATCATTTCTAACATATATTTTACGAATCATTTATCTTTAGTTATACAGATGGTCAATGCTTGACCCAAAATCGAGGAGTCAATAACCCCAGACTGAGAAAGTTGCTATTTGTACAACCGCCAACGAACTCACCTTTTTTTTAATGAGTGTGGTGCCATTTCTAGTACTAATACTAAATCGCGATGGTGTAGCAAACATTCAAAGCTGTAGTCGCCAGATGCGAATGCATCCTCTGATAGGCGCCATAATGATGGAATCAATGAATTACGGGAGGCAAAGGAATCCTAAACTTTTCTTGGGGAGGTGTTTCTCTTTTTTCCCTTTTCGAGTTCATCTTTCTTCATATATGGGCTAACAAACAACCTGTGATTGAGGAGATTTTTTGTGGGGTCGTGTGTTTGAGCAAAAACACTTTTGTAGATTTTTTTTAGAAAAGGAGGATGACTCCGGTCTCTGCATCTGGACGATGCATACGGCCACTTTATTAATTATTCTCACAAGACCTTATAAAGTCATACAACAGTAAGACTAAAACCGTCGTCTAAGCAACAAACTGTCGCTACACCTATCCAGTTGATGAAGGGGCGTAGATAGCCTCAGCCTAATATCAAACAGATATCGCAGCGAAGCCTAACATCTAAGACCTGAGCCCTCAACCTAGCCACTTGCCGGGTCTGGGGCACATACTGGTCCGGCGTGCTCTCAGAGGCCGCCGCCGCCAACTGCCACTGCTCCATCTTCAAAACTGTACTGATGCATCAACCTTGTTCGGTCCAGCTATCGTCGACGCCACCACGGCGCCCAACGACACCTCTTTCCTGCACGCAAACAGCCATACATGTTGCGGTCGTCACTGATACACACTTGTAGATTTTGAGCCTTTTTTTGAGATACTCTTCATTGTCACACCGGTATCGCACTGAGCCGACCTCATTGCACCATCAGTACGGATTTCTGACTTGTGCCAGCATCATCGCCACATGGATCCATGGGGCAGGCGTCAGCCAAGCCAACCTGGAGCAAGATGACCAAGATGGAGGAAAGGGGCCACTGGCCAAGACTACTGTATAAATCATTTCTAACATATAATGTATTTTACAAATCATTTGTTGTTAGTTATACATATGGTGAATGCTTAACCCAAAATAGCAGAGGAGCCAATAACCCCAAAGTAAGAAAGTAGGTATTTGTACAACCCCCAACGAATTCGGCTTTTTTTAGGCAATTTCTTATTTGACACTATCTTAAAATCTGCTTCCTTATTTTACACTGGAAAAAAATTTCTTCCCTATTTGACACAAGTTTTAAATTTTATTCCTTATATGACATTTTCGTTCATTTTAAGTCTAAATGACACCTGAAAAAACTCTTTTGCCCCTCATGCAGTATGTATGTGAGGGCAATAGCGCACACACACAGCATTAGTGCGAGGGCAGAAGCCCACACGCAGCAACACATACACATGCATCAACACACACGCACGCGCACACACATGCAACAACACGCACGCGCACGTGTGCGCACACACACACGCACGCAGCAATACACATGCACGTGCGCACACACGCAGCAACACACACGCACGCAGCACACACATACATACACACACATGCAACAGCAGCACACACGCAGGCATCACATAGGCACGCAACGGCACACACACGCGCGCATGTACACACGCAGTAGCAAACATAGACGCAACGGCACACATGCACACACACACATGCAGCAGCAGTACACATGTGCGCGTGCACCCACGCACGTAACAACACACACATGCGCACACATATCGCATGAGGGGCAAAATCGTCTTTTCAGGTGTCATTTAGGATCAAAATGAACGGAAGTATCGTATAGGAAATAAAATTTAGGACTAGTGTCAAATAGGGAAGAATTTTTTTTTCCAGTGTTAAATAAGGAATCGGATTTTAAGACAGTGTCAAATAAGGAATTTTCTCTTTTTTTTCCAATGAGTGTGGTGCCATTTCGAGTAATATACTAAATTGCGGTGGTGTAGCAAAACACTCAAAGCTGTAGTCGCCAGATGCGGACGCCATCCTCTGATAGGCGCCATAAATGATGGAATCAATGAATTACGGGAGAGTGAGCATGCAGAGGATAGTGGGAGGAGGCAGGCAAGTAAATGATCCTGCAGCTGCAACTGCTGGTGTGTTTTGCAATTGAATGGCGGTGAAGCGACGGGCCGGTATGAGCTGACATGAGATGCATTGGAGCAAAGTGGTTGGAGAGGTGGAGGCGACGAATTCAATGGTCTGCCCACGTACGTACAGTACGTCCTACGTGCATTTTTTCTTTCTTTCTTTCTTTGTCCGCGGCGGCAACTGATCGCAAGCACGCATGGCCATCACGTTAGAGAGGTGCGTTATTAGTAGCAGGAGTTATGCACGCACTGCAGTGGTCAGAGTCTTTATGGGACGGGGTTATTAGGGAGGACGCCAATCGCAGTTTTTGGTTCAGGCATGGTGGGCCGTGAGTTTGGTACAATCCACCTACAAATCTCAGCACGCTGCTCCTCCTTTCCTTTGTCCCTTTAATAGGCCCGTACTGTTACTCCACCGGCGCTACTAGAACGGTGGTAGTACTAGTGTGCTCCACTACCACCACCAACACCACGAGTGAGGGCGGTGGCCAAAAGACAGGAGATAAGGCGAGACTGTGAGAGGGACAGGGCGGGAGACCTCGACGACCCCTCTCATTGTTTCTTTCCGGCCGTCCAGCGCCGGCAGGCAGCGAAGCTAGGGCAGATCGAATCAACAGACGCGCGCCGGCCGCCGGACAAGATGATGGGTCGCCCGGTGTTCGTGCTCTTCGGCTCCTCCATCGTGCAGTACAGCTTCAGCAACGGCGGATGGGGAGCCACCCTCACCGACGTCTACGCCCGCAAGGTACCACCGCCCCGCCCCCGCCCTAACATTAATTAATTCTCCTTCCCCTTAATTTCTCTTTACCCTCCTGTTGCCCTGTGATGTACTTCCGGGTGTGATTGCGGCTCACATCACATCGCACTCAGACTCACTCATTCACTACCGATCGACCTAACCTAGATCACTCGTCATATGCATCTGCAACTACATCCTTCCGTCCAAATTAACATTCTCTATTTTTGTATCATCATCATGGATGATCTAACTTTATTAATCACGCACTGCCAGTAAAAAAAAAGAATTCCCTTAACTCTGACAACCAAAACTTTTGATTTTCGATTCACCACATTAGTGTAAAATTCTAGCAGAGTGTCCCCCCTACCATTTGCGCGGATATCTGTTGTTCTTGTTGATCTTTTTTTCCTCTCGATTAATGTGAGATTTACAGGATTTCTTGATTAATGTGTTCCTTGAATATCACTTGTTATTCAGGGATACGTAGATCGATTATATTTCATAAATTTGTACTAACAAACAAAATAACTAGTGACACGCTAGTGGCAGCGTCCAAAATGCATAGTATAATTTTGGATAGACCAAACAAGTACTCTTATTTTGTGCATCTGTTGCTTTGTCTCTTTTCAATACTCCTGAGAGTAGATGTATAGCTCAGAGTGCATCGATGGAGTAGAATATTTCCATCGTTCCTTTTTACACAACACACTGAGCTGGATACTTTTAAGGCATGGCATGACATCTTTTGAAAAGTGCACACCACTGGAATACAATATCCCTGCTATATTTTTGTTGTTGTGACTTGCTGTAGGCCTACAATTTTAACCTACATTTTATTTTTCTTGTTCAGCAAACCCGTTAATCAGAACATTTAGAATGTATATGAAACTGACGCAAAATAAAAATGGGAAATGTATAGAGCAAATGACAGCGATTTTTTTCCGGGCGCAACATGCAGCTGCCCGTCAGATCCGACAATAGGCTGAGTTCATCCATGCGACGGTCTGACTGCTTGGATTGATTGACGGCCCTGAATGCGTCGTGCCTCCATGCCAAGGCGCGAAAGCTCGCGCTGAATCAGCGTCCAAGAAAAATAGACTGTTTCCAATGTTTTGCAAAACACCTCGGGCTATTTTTACAGATTGTGTCTAGTATTGTCAAATATTTAAAACGCTTAGATTTATGAAAATGCAAGAAATATATGATAATTAACTACTTGTATTTTTTTTTACGGAAAATCAAATACTCGTGTCAATGAGGCATTTTTAAGAAACACTTCTGAAAACAGAGCAGAAGCCGGATCATAGACCAAGTCAAAGTATGTCAGCTCTTTAATTTGGACACTATCATGAACCAGTGCTAATCGTGTTGACTAATGTCCATGTATTCAACTCGTTCAGGCTGATATTGTTCTCAGAGGATATATTGCATGGAACTCAAGGCGAGCACTTCAAGTCATTACCAAAATTTTCCCCAAGGTCCGATGCTCTCTTCAGACCAGCTAGTTAATCCTACATTTTTTGTTTATATCATCTCTGCTTTTTTTCCAAAAAGGGGATAACCCTGGCCTCTGCATCATATGATGCACACAGCCATTTTATATCATCTCTGCTGACTAGATAATTCTAACGTGAGGAGTACTCTTTTTTTTTCTGATATAACATAACTGTTGATTGGCTGCAACTCTTGTTTGTTTTAATTAGGATTCAGCAGTGCAGCCTAGCTTGGTGGTAGTTTACTTTGGTGGCAATGATTCGATTGCTCCGCACCCTTCTGGGCTTGGACCTCATGTGCCACTTGAGGAGTACATGGACAACATGAGGAAGATAGGAGAGCACCTCAAGAGCCTGTCCGACAAGACTCGTGTGATCTTTCTGAGCTGCCCGCCGCTCAACGAGGAGCTGCTCAAGAAATCAACGAGCACTGCACTGAGCGAGATTGTGCGGACCAATGAAACCTGCCGTCTCTACTCTGAAGCATGTATATCTGTATCGAAAGAGATGGGCATCAAGGTGGTCGATCTTTGGAACGCCATGCAGAAACGAGAGGACTGGGCCACAGCATGCTTTACGTGAGTTTAGAATCCATTTTTCTAGCTTGTTCCTTCTCTCTTGTTTACAATTATCTGAAGAGAAGAATCAAGTAAGCAATGACTCTGAATTTGTAGGGACGGGCTGCATTTGTCAGAAGAGGGGAGCAATATAGTTGTGGAAGAGATCCTGAGGATCCTCAAGGAGGCGGAGTGGGATCCATGCCTACACTGGAAGGCGATGCCGACCGAGTTCGGGGAGGACTCGCCCTACGACCTTGTCGCCTCTAGCGGCAAATCCACCATCAACCCATCCGAGTGGACATTCCACAGGAAAAGATCATGGGAATGAACGGATCGCCAGGACATGTGTGAGATCGAGCAGCTGCACGTGATATTTTGCGCCGGCGCTCTTCGGTCGCTTTGTGTTATTCATCTGATGGAAGAACGTGATAAGATGTTTCTGAATTGCAAGTGTCCATCGGGTCGTAGAATTAATAATGAACATGTTTGAGTTGAACAACGTTGAGCTGAGTTGGGTGTGGATGGATCGCTGATGTATACCGGCCTCAAAGATGTAGTGTTCTACGTTTCCTAGTATGAATTGAGCATGCATGATCATCTAGCGACATGTTTGGATCAATGCTGGAATTTCGTGGCAATGGATTTGATTGTATACTCATCAGTTGCCTAGCTGCATCAATCGATGCAAAGGCTGGAGTTATCCTCCTATTTACCAGTTTTGTCCTTTAATTTTATTTATTTATTTATTTGACAAGGAACACCGTGCATTCCATTTAACTAGTGGACGCGGCTAAATCGCCGGCCACGGCATCAATTACTCTCAGAGGGCACTGACTTCCTGATTCAATCCTCGCACCATGCCTAGCTAATAAATGTGCAGGCACATTGCATCCACGGGGATTGAACTCAACGTTGATGCAGTTGGAGTAGGAATTTTATCTCACGGAAGAGGGTGCAAGTTTTACACGATCAGCATTGTTCGAGCACACGGCGTGCATGAGTGGCTGGCAGATTTTTTTTTTTTGAAACCGAAGCAAAAGATTTGTCTCATATATTAATTAAGCAGAGAAGAGGTTTTGTTACAATAGGCACTCTCACATGGCAGGAGGGATTACTCGCGCAAAATAATAGCCCCTAATTTCTTTGTCCTAACAGTGACCCAAAGTTTTGCCTCATTGACAATGGAAGCGAGCAAAATAGCCGGCGGAGCACACTTGTGTCGGAAGACTCGTGCATTCCTTTCGTTCCAGGTGGTCCACGAGACGAGCATAGTCATCGAAGCCATCGCCTTTCTGTCAGGAACTTCTGTGTCGGTCAAATTTTCCCACCAACTCTTGACGGAAGCCTCCAAATGCCATGAAGAGGTGTCCAAGTGCGTAAGCTGAAATTTCTCAATGACCATCTTCCAAAGGCGGATGGTGTAACGACACTTGAAGAAAAGATGAGAGCCGCTCTCTTGCCCTCTTTTGCAAAGAGGGCAAAGACCACAGTTCGGCCAACCCCGCTTGGCGAACCTATCCGCCGTCCAGATTCTATCTTGGGTCACCAACAATGCGAAGAACCTTGCCTTTGAAGGCGCCCAAGCCTACCAAATCATGTGCTCTAAGCGGAGAGAACCAGCCCGAGGAATTGTGCTTGATATGCGGAGGGGGCGGAGTAGCGGCCATCGGTCGTGTGCTTCATTATGGAATCCTCGGAAAGCTCATCAAGATGGAAGTTGTGCAAGAGCATCCAAAGGGTGAAGAATTGCCAGATGTGCTCGATGGAGACGGTCGTGGAGGGGTTGATCTTGAGAATCCAAGCATTTTTTAGGGCCTCACACACCTTCCAATTTTTCCTCATGGAGGCCTCGAAAATTAGGGGAGCAACATCTTTTGGTTTGGCTCCATGCAGCCACGGGAATTCCCAAAAGGGCGTTTTGGCCCCATTCCCCACAGGGATGGTGGTTGAGGCATAGAAGAAAGACATGTCCGCCTCGTCGCAAGGGTTGCCCAAACCGACCCACATCTTATTTGACTCTGTCCATTCAAACCAAGGCCATCTCAGCCGCAAGGCGCGAGCAAACTTGGCGGTGCTAAGGACTCCAAGGCAACCGTACTCCGTAGGGCAGCACACTATATTGCAATTTACCTTGCACTTTGCTCCCGTGGTCTTATCCGACCCGAACCACAGGAAAGCACGCTCCAGCTTGTTCACATTTTGCAGGATGGACGGAGGGACAACCAAGGAAGTGATGAAGTAGAACACAAGTGAGGAGATGACAGATTTTACTAAAGTCGTGCGCCCGATGATAGTAATGTTCTACCCTTCATATGCAACCAATTTGCTCGCCACCTTGTCTTCAAGGAATTGGAAATCTGCCTTCTTCAGCTGCCAGACGGGTAGCGGGAGGCCTAATTAAGTACCGTAGAGGGAAGGACGTCGTAGTGGCCGGCATGCTTTGCAGAATATGTCCCAAGTTAAGGTTATTGCACCGGATAGGCACAACGGAGCTCTTGTGAAAGTTGGTGCATAGCCCGGTGACCTCCCCAAAGCCACGTAAAATTGTCAACAAGTTGTCAATGTCTTTCTTTATGGGGGCCATGAACACCGCGACATCATCCGCATAAAGCGAGGTACGCACCCTGACATCCCTTCCACGGATACGGTGGAGCAATTTCTTGCGGGTAGCCAAGTCAAGGAGTCATTGTAATGGATCAATGGCGATGACGAATAGCAATGGTGAAACTAGGTCCCCCTGGCGAAGGCTCTGCCCATGGTTGATGGGCGGGCCAGGCACACCATTTAGGATGATCCTCGAGGAAGAGGTGCAAAGGAGCGCTGCAATCCAGTTACGAAATTTGCAAGGGAATCCACCACGCCGGAGGAGGTCAAGTACATACTCCCATATGACTGAATCAAAAGCCTTTCGGATGTCGAGCTTGAACAAGAGCGACGGAGTCTTGCACTTATGGAGTGATACGTCTCCAACGTATCTACTTTTCCTAATGCTTTTCCTCTTGTTTCGGACTCTAATTTGCATGATTTGAATGAAACTAACCCCAGACTGACGCTATTTTCAGCAGAACTACCATGGTGTTGTTTTTATGCAGAAATAAAAGTTCTCGGAATGGAACAAAACTTTGCAAGGATTTTTTATATCAATAATAAGAATTTCTGGAGCCAAGACCCACCAGAGGGGGGCACCTGGGTGAGCACAACCCACCAGGGCGCGCCCCCCTCTCCTGGCGCGCCCAGGTGGGTTGTGCCCACCTGGTGCCCGCAGACCCTGAAACCGACCCTATAAAATCCTATTTTTTCCAGAAAAAAATCAGGGAGAAAGACTTATCGCGATCCATGAGACGGAGTCGCCGTCACCTCCTGTTCTTCATCGGGAGGCCATATCTGGAGTCCGTTTGGGGCTCCAGAGAGGGGGATCTTCGTTCTTCGTCATCACCAACCCTTCTCCATCGCCAATTCCATGTTGCTCCCCACCGGGAGTGAGTAATTCCTTTGTAGGCTCGCTGGTCAGTGAGGAGTTGGATGAGATTCATCATGTAATCGAGTTAGTTTTGTTAGGGTTTGATCCCTAGTATTCACTATGTTCTAAGATTGATGTTGCTATGACTTTGCCATGCTTAATGCTTGTCATTTTGGGCCAGGGTGCCATGATTTCAGATCTGAACCGTTCACGCTATCACCATTATATCCATATTCTAGATCCGATCTTGCAAGTTATAGTCACCTACTACGTGTTATGATCCGGCAACTCCGGAGTGACAATAGCCGGGACCACTCCCGGTGATGACCATAGTTTGAGGAGTTCATGTATTCACTATGTGTTAATACTTTGTTCCGGTTCTCTATTAAAAGGAGGCCTTAATATCCTTTAGTTTCCAATATGGACCCCGCTGCCATGGGAGGGTAGGACAAAAGATGTCATGCAAGTTCTTTCCATAAGCATGTATGACTATTTACGGAATACATGCCTACATTATATTGATGAACTGGAGCTAGTGCCGTATCACCCTAGGTTATAACTATCTCATGATGAATATCATCCAATAAGTCACCGATCCAATGCCTACGAATTTATCCTATATTGTTCTTGCTAAGTTACTACTACTATCATCACTCTTACACTTGCTACAAAACTACTGCTATCACTGTTATTGTTACCATTGCTACTGCTACTATTATCAAAACTATCATACTACTTTGCTACCGATCACTTTGCTACATATAATTAATCTCCTGGTGTGGTTGAATTGACAATTCAGCTGCTAATACCTTCAAATATTCTTTGGCTCCCCTTGTGTCGAATCTATAAATTTGGGTTGAATACTCTACCCTAAAAAACTGTTGTGATCCCCTATACTTGTGGGTTATCAAGACCTTTTTCTGGCGCCGTTGCTGGGGAGCATAGCTATATTTGTTGAGTCACTTGGGATTATTACCATATTATCACTATGAAGAATCTGAAGGATGCTAAGACTAAAATATTTCCCTCAAAGACGAGGGGAGGTAAGGAACTGCCATCCAGTTGAAGGAAATATGCCCTAGAGGCAATAATAAAGTTATTATTTATTTCCTTATATCATAATAAATGTTTATTATTCATGCTAGAATTGTATTAACCGGAAACATAATACATGTGTGAATATGTAGACAGACAGAGTGTCACTAGTATGCCTCTACTTGACTAGCTCGTTAATCAAAGATGGTTGTGTTTCCTAACCAAAGACATGAGTTGTCATTTGATAAACGGGATCACATCATTAGGAGAATGATGTGATTGACTTGACCCATTTTGTTAGCTTAGCACTTGATCGTTTAGTTTACTGCTATTGTTTTCTTCATGACTTATACATGTTCCTATGACTATGAGATTATGCAACTCCCGATTACCGGAGGAACACTTTGTGTGCTACCAAACATCACAAACGTAACTGGGTGATTATAAAGGTGCTCTACAGGTGTCTCCGATGGTACTTGTTGAGTTGGCATGAATCAAGATTAGGATTTGTCACTCCGATTGTCGGAGAGGTATCTCTGGGCCCTCTCGGTAATGCACATCACTATAAGCCTTGCAAGCAATGCAACTAATGAGTTAGTTGCGAGATAGTGCATTACGGAACGAGTAAAGAGACTTGACCGTAACGAGATTGAACTAGGTATTAAGATACCGACGATCGAATCTCGGGCAAGTAACATACCGTGACAAAGGGAACAACGTATGTTGTTATGCGGTTTGACCGATAAAGATCTTCGTAGAATATGTAGGAACCAATATGAGCATCCAGGTTCCGCTATTGGTTATTGACCGGAGACGTGTCTCTGTCATGTCTA